AGGACCTAAAAGATCATCTCTAGGCTATCGGGTGGCATAACTGCCTCATGTTCTTCAGCCAGATATCAAACCCTGCTCCATGACATGGCTAGAGTGGATATGGGGGCTCCAGACTGGAGTGGGCTGACAGTATGAATCTGGGGGAGCTGTTCCTAGATCCAATTTAGTCTGGAGTCGCACTGTCCCCAGGAGGGGACCCATTCTAGAACAGATTCAATTCCCAACGGATCCACCTCAGACCGATTTTAATGCCTGGTCTCAATGACCAAATTCTAGGCAAGAGTGAACATACAAACACACCCCACAGCATTCATTAAGTCAGAATTCTGGAAAAGGAGAAACTGTCTTTCAGGATTAATTTATTTCTGCCAACTTGTTTTGTTTGATTACAACATACATTTAGAAGATGCTTGCCCTTCACTTTCCAGTCTCCTTTTAGCCTTTGTCAGTAACCTTGCAGGCTCTCCACAGGTGGTTCCATTTGTAATCCATTTGACACAGCAAGACTATCGTAATTAATGAAGTTTCCTACAGCACTGCCAGTGACCCAGAATGTAGGACAGGAGAGGCGCTGAAGCAGTGGAAAGAACAGTGGGCTGAGAGCCAGGAGACCTGGACGTGGTCAGGAGCCTGCTGTGGGGCTGCCATAGAAGGAGGACAGCTCGCTCTTCTTTTGTGCCTCTCTGTGTCTCCAGCCTTAAACTGGAAGGATGGGAAAGAAAAGGCACTGTCTAAAAGGAGGCCATAATCACTAACCATTAAAATTCCTGCTCTTGGCTACCTTCCTTTATTTGTCACTGAAAATCACTTTACAACAAACTGTTGTCAAGTTTTGATTGTGGTAGAAAGAGGGGGAAAGATATGACTGAATCTTTAAATGCGAAAATAAATATGGAAGTTTCTGAGGTGAAGACTAGGGTGGAGCCTGGAGAACACAGGCATCTGAGCCCTTCCGGGGGAGGTTTCCCCAGTGCCTGCCTGGCAGGATCTTCACATGGTCAGGGTTTGAGGTAGGAACAAAGGAAACCAGGCGTGGTATCGTTCCCCTTTTTTTTCTCTCTGCTTCAAACACACATGTAAATGGAATAAAAAGAGAAAAGAAATAAGAAGCCAGAAAAAAACCCAGATGGCTTTCTATAATGGTTTTCATCCAGTTACAAAGATGTTTTGACAATAAGGTCCTAGAGAAAAGAACTGGAATATATTTTTCCACATTTCACCCCACACTGTTTCTTGGATATGTTCACCTACACCCATAGAATTAACAGATCAGCTGCAAAAGAATTCCAGGAAGGTCATGGGAAAGCTCCTATGGTCTAGCTTGGTATACAGAGTCAGACAGAAGAATCTGGCTGATTTGTTCATTAAAATGGTGCTATATGCATCTGCTAAAAAATGTTCCCAGAGGGACACAAGAGACTTGCTCTCCTTCCCTCAGGCTTTCTCAGACCCTCTGGTTCAGACTCACAACCCCCTGTCTCCACTGGTCAGCTTTAAGTGGCATCATGCTATGATTCCCATGAAACCCGTAAAGAACGGAGATGTGGCATCTCATGCCGAGGGTCCCATTTTTCCCCTAAGTGAAGAAACCTGAATTTACCTGAATTGAAGCCTTCACCTCAATTTTTTATTCTTTTTATTCAAAATTCTATTGCATCATTCCCTCCTAACAGGTCCTTGGATCTCCTAGCTTTTTCCTTTTCATGCTCTACACAGATTTAGGGCCCTTTTCCCTCATGTTTTTACTCACAGTATCAATCATTTATTATTATTATTACATTTTGAAAATGTATTTAAAATTCTACTTTTTCCTGTTTATAAAAGAATACAAAGTCACACAAAATATTTCTACTCTTTATGATTATAAAAATGTCCCACGTAATTAAACTGAAATTTCTGTTTTTCCGTTAATGCATGCTTCAGGAACCGTTGGATGTATTTTCATGAAATGTGGAGGGGACGTTTTGGATGGTTTGATTTACACTAGAAAGTACAGGGCTCACATGCCATTTACTCTGCACGCCCTGGCAGGCGTTCTCCTGAGCAGCTGATGGTGAGGTATAGGGAGGGGCCTCCATGCTGCCCCAGGGGGACTTGCCAAACATATAAAGAAACAGAACAGCTTCAGACATGAACTCTAACTCCAAAGTCCCAGGGACCAATGTTCTGTACTGCGGGCTCCAGATCAACGAGCAGAAGCTGGGGCTGTTCTGTTGGATGATGATGGGGCATTCTCCTGAGCTGGGCTGGCTGGGCTGGCTGGTAAAGAATACCGGTACCAGCAACAGTCATCACAACAAAGCATCTGTCCAGGTCGGGAGCAGACACAAGACCTGCGGTGCTTCATTTAAGCCCCAACAGCCCCCTGAAGTAAGTAATGCTCTTATCTCCTTTTCAGGGATGAGGAAATTGACATCGCTGGATGTTAAACAGATTTTTCCAGGGCACAAAGTTGCTAAGTGGCAGAGCCAGCATTTGAACCCAAGGATCGGCCTTCATCTAAAGGCCCCGGTCCCCACCACCATGCGCATTTCTAGCAACAATCTTCCAGGCTGTGGCCGGAGGGCTCTCTCCTCACTACACCCTATCTGCTTCCAGAAACTACCACAAGGTCTCCACTGCACTACACCGAGGGCGCAAGCCCGTTAGTCTGATCCCAGGCCCTGCAGGGGTGCTTCCAGGTAGCTGACTGATGCTCCACACCCCTGCGTCTTGTCTTCTGACACCCTGCCTCTATCCCATGCCGCTCAGGCCACACTACTTCTCGGCCTCTTCACCTGGCGTTCTCACTTCCACCTCTCCACCTTCTGCCAAGCCGCTCCCCGAGCCAACAGGCTCTCCAGCTCTGCTACCAAATCGTCTCAGAGCCAGGCAGCACCCTGACCTCCCTCTGCTTTGCTCAGTGAAAAGCAGAGGAGTTTCTTTCTTACTCTAAAAACCCTTTCCCCACCCTCTACGTAGCCCTCTCTCAAGCGGACGCTTCCTGGCAGGTGCTCGGCCCACGCGTGCTCAGTGACAGTGCTGATGATGGTCCTTCGTACAGATCATCAGCCCCCGGGGCTGCAAAGTTGGGCGCAGATTTAACAAACATTTATTGTGTATGCTGGGTGTCGTTCTGGGCATTGCTCTAGGTACAGAAGATACAATAATAGTTAACAGAAACATGTAGAGGCCCTTCCCTCGTGGAAGTTACAATCTAGTGAAAATACCTTCTCTATTTCTGTGTTACGGTGTATATTCCCATAGGATAGCTCTGGAGACAGACTGTCTGGGATCACATCCCAACCTTTCTACTTACAGTTCTGTGTGACCTTGGCTGAGTTAGTTAACTCTCTTTGCCTCAGTTTCCTGTCAATTGGGAAACATTAATAGCATTTCCCTCAAAGACCTTACGAGAATTAAATAAGTTAACAGAGTTAATACATGCGAAGTATTTAGGATAGTGGTTTGTGATATTGTGATTTATAATAAGGCATGTCTTTGGTTTTCCACCTCATTCCTGGCTCAAAGCTCCTAAATCCCTTGGAATTTCCTAAGGGATGATAGCAAGAAAGGTGTCTTTTGTTATGTTAATGAGATACTTTCAAAAACTGCCTAAGGATGGGGGCTGGTTGCTAGGGGAACCAAAAGTGTGATTAGAGGGTTGGAACTTTCAGTCCCAAACCCAAGCTCCGGGGAAGGGAGATGAACTGAAGATTGAGTTCATCACCAACGGCCCGTGATTTAATCAGTCACACCTGTGTAATGAAGCCTCCCACAAACCAACAAAGGACAGGTTCGGAGACCTTCCGGGTTGGTGAACAAGTAGAGACCTGCGAAGTGGGGTGCACTGGGGGAGGGATGGAATCTGCTTGCCCTTCCCCATACCCTACGCTTGCATCTGACATCTGGCTGTTCCTGAGTTATATCCTTTTGTGATAACTGGTGATCTAGTAAGTAAAATGTTTCTCTGAGTTCTATGATCCACTGTAGCAAATTAACCGAAGCCATGGAGGGGCTCCTTGGAACTTCCAACCTGTACATCTCAAGTGGTGGGGGAGGGCAATCTTGTAGCCCTTAATTTAGGGGATCTGGTGCTGTCCTCCAGGTCATCTCAGAATGCAGATGAATTGCAGGACACCGTACTGGTGTCCACGAATTGCTTGGTGGTGTGGAAAAGGGCTCCCACACATTGGAATTGGGTGCAGAATCACAGTGGCACACTGTAAAGTCTCAATATGTGTTAATTATTATTACTTCTTTTAGATAATTAAACATCTAGATGGCATAAGTCTTTCTTTGGAGATTTCTTTCTTTTTTTTTTTTTTTAAAGATTTTATGTATTTATTGAGAGAGAGAAAGAGTGCCCTGCGGGGAGGGTGAGGGGCAGAGGGAGAGAGAATTTCAAGCTGACTCCACCCTGAGCATGGAGCCTGAGCAGGGCTCCATCTGAGGATCCTGAAATCAGGACCTGAGTGGAAATCAAGAGTCGATCGCGTAAGCCACCTAGGTGCCCTCTGTTTGGAAATTTCTTAAGTGTCCTCCTCTAGGCTGTAAACTTTTTTTTTAAATTTAAATTCAGCTAATTAACATATAATGTATTACTGGTTTCAGAGGTAGAGGTTAGTGATTCCTCAGTCTTAAATGATACCCAGTGCTCATTACATCAAGTGCCCTCCTTAATGTCCAACTTCTTAAAGTCAAGGGCCAAGTCTTCAGTTGTTTTGTGTTTGCCACACCTGGTATAGTGCTTTCCAGGGCTTGTTAATGAATACATGCTCTTGCCTGACAGGGCCAGTGGAAGAGGCCTCTGAGGGTCAGAGTGTACCTCAACTCTCCTCAGAGCACAACTGTGTTTGCCTGCGGGGCTCCATTTTCATTATTGTATCTTCTTGAAGAGAGAGGAATGTATATTCAGTGACTTCTATTGTTTGTGTAAAACAAATTTGTAATTTCTCAAGGAACAAGTCCCAAGGTTATCAGGTTAAAAACATCCTCTGCCTCAAAATGACAAGACTTACCTTGATTTTTCAATGGTAAAGGCATAGTTTCCCTGAGTTTGCTTAAAAGGTTTTTCATTTCTCGCATGTCTCTGTAAAAGTGATAAAAAGAAGAAAAAAATCAGCTGTGAATTTTTGAAGTGCAATCCCAAACAGTCTGTTCTATGAGACAATTGAGAGATGAGAGTCTGTGCTTAATTGTACTAGCTTTAGTTTCCAGTAGGCAAATGTTGAATTTATTTTGCTTTTATAAGAAAAAAAATCTGAGACTGATGGTTTTGGAAGGAATGAGAACTACTCTGGCAAACATTTCCACAGGGCATTCTGCTCTAGGAGCCTTCTCTGCCTTCGGTTGGACCTGGCTGAGATCAGAGAAGAGTCTCTGATAACAAGGCCAGTATCGCAGATTTCTAAGAGGGAGGTCAAGGACATGCAACTAGTGTAACAGGGGTACTCTGGGCAAAACTGAGGCTGGGTGATGTTGCTCTCAGGCTTTAAGGTCAGATAGCTGTTGTGGTTGTACTGGTTCACTTGCTATTGTCTCATGATTGAAATTCAGTGTAACATAGGTGTTAGGGATTCACAAGGTTCAGCATTGATTGAAGTGACTTGGAATAATGGGAAACTGACGAATTCTAAAATCTTCAGAGAAGAGCTCTTCACGATGGGGTGGGGGGCGTGGAGAGGGAGAAGGAGGGAAAGAGAAGCACCTGGGACAGATGGACAAATGGACCTTCCTGTAGCTTCTCCCATGCAGGTAAGCCACTGCATCCTTCCAACATCTCCGCTCTCTCATCTTGGAATATATGTGATCCTAAAACCACCCAACTGTGGAGCAGGAAGCCATACCAGGGGGCTTCTAGTTTGGGATAGGAATCAGTTGGGACTTTTCAAATCCTTGGGGCAGTAGTTCTCCACATGTTCTGGTGGTCATCCCCTGGACTTAGTACTCTTGAAATCACAGGACGTAGTGGTCGATTTCATTTATAAGGGCAAAAATCAGATACATCTTTTAGTTAGCTCTAGAATAGGCAAGCAATAGCAGCAGGTACTAAGGATTTAATAAAGTTTTGGGGGGAGAATAATCTGAAAGTTGAGGAAATTCTATCTACTAACTTATTTTTCTTTTGCTATATGAAGAAAAAGAATCACCATTTAATTTTAGGTATGAAATAGGGACCCTCAGTTCCTTTCTTTTTTTAAGTAGGCTCCTCACCCAATGTGGGGCTTGAACTCACAACCCTGAGATTAAGAGTTGCATGCTGTACCAACTGAGCCAACCAGGCGCCCCTGTGTATTTCTTGATACACAGCTGTTCTCTTGAGTATGGGTTGAGGACTACTTGTCCTGGGGGAGGCCAGAGACCCCATAGGGTCTCTCCTTAAGTATTGGCTAACATGTAAAAAGGAACTCTTTCCCAGGAATAGCTGATTGGAAAAGGAGAAGAAAGCAGCCTTGTGGGTCAGGTGTAGAAATAAGCCCATAAAAACAATTGGAATTCTTTTCCATAAGTATGAGGATATGTCTGTGGGGCACGGATGCTGACGAGCCCCAAAGGGTATTTCTAGAGAGAAAAGGTGAGAGTGGGGGATTGGGAAAAAGAAGGGCAGGGCCCTTACATCCAGAAGTGCAAGGGGCATATTCTGATTTCCTGTAAAATTCTCAAGGGTGGATGGGATGGGAGGTGGACGGGCACATGGTGGGAATGGGTCAGGAATGCAATATGTGAGACTGAGGCAAGGTCTCTCTGGAAAGCACCAATTCCCAGGCGTGGTGCTGCACAGGAGAATCATCATGTGCCAGGACCCCACCCCATGAGAGCCTGATATAGCTGGTTTCTGGGGATGGGGCTCAGGAATCAGTGTTTTTAAAAAGCCCTTCTGGTGATTTTAATGTGCAGTCCAGTGTGAGACGCACTGATCTCTTAGGCAGAGAGAGGGAGAACTTAGGAAGCTGCCTTACCAGATCAGGTCTCTTGTGCCTACTTGTCTCAGTCATTCCCACCTCCTTGGACCTGAATCTGGACTTTAAGGCTGAACTTCAAAACTGTGGGCTATAGTCTTCTTTTTTTAAAAATTGAGGTAAAATTGGTATATAACATTATTTAAGCTTCAGGTGTGCAACATTGTAAGTTTCCATCTGTATGTACTACAAAGTGATCACCACTACAAGTCTAGTTATGATGCATTACCCTAAAACTGACCCCCTTCAACCATTTGACCCACCTCCATCCCCCCCATCCTTCCCCTCTGTAATCATCTATCTGCTCTCTTGTATCTATAAGTTTGTTTTTGTTTTGTTTTCCTTTATAGATTCCAGATATGAGTGGAATCATATGGTATTTGTTTTCCTCTGTGTGACTTATTTCACTTAGCATAATAACTTCACGGTCTGTCCATGTTGTTGCAAATAGCAAGCTGAGTAGATTCCATTATAGCACACACACACACACACACATACACTGCATCTTCTTTTTCCATTCATCCATTGATGAACATTTAGGTTGTTTCAATTTCTTGGTTATTGTAAATAATACAGCAATGAACAGAGGGGTGCATGTATAGTTTTGAATCAGAATTTTTGTTTTCTTTGGATAAATACCTAGACATGGAATAGCTGGATCATATGGTAGTCCTATTTTTATTTTTTTTTGAGAAATATCCATACTGTTTTCCATAGTGGTTGTGCCAGTTTACATTCCCATCAATTGGGTATGAGAGATCCCTTTTTTTCCACATCCTCCCCAGTATTTGTTATTTCTTGTCTTTTTGGTACTAGCTCTTCTAACTGGTGGGAGGCGATACCTCATTGTGGTTTTGATTTGCATTTTCCCGATGACTAGTGATGTTGAACATCTTTCTGTGTGCCTGTGGGCCATCTATATGTCTTTTCTGAAAAAATGTCTATTCAGATCCCCTGACCATTTTTTAATTGGATTGTTTCTTTTTGTTGTTGTTGTATGAGTTCATTATATATTTTGGATCTTAATCCTTTGTTGGATATATGATTTGCAAAAATCTCCCATTCAGTAGATCACATTTTTGTTTTGATGACCTTTTCTTTCACTATGCAAAAGATTTTCAGTTTGATGTAATCCCATTTGTTTATTTTTGCTTCTGTTTCCCTTGCCTTTGGAATCAGATGCACAAAAAATATCACTAAGATTCATGTTGAGGGGCTTACTGTGTATGTGTTCTTCTAGGAATTTTATGGTTTCAGATCTTACATTCAGGTTTTTAATCCATTTTGAGTTAATTTTTGAAGATTAACTGGAATTTTGATAAGGATTGCACTGAATCTGTAGATTGCTTTGGGTAGTATGGACATTTTAACTCTATTCTTCCAATCCATGATCATGGAATTTTTTTTCCCATTTATTTATGTCTTCATTTTCTTTCATCAGTGTCTTACAGTTTTCAGTGTGTAGGTCTTTCAACTTGGTTAAATTTATTCCTGGGTTTTTGATGCAATTTAAATGGAATTATTTTCTTAATTTCTCTTTCTGATAATTTGTGATTAGTATATACAAATGCCAAAGATTTCTGTGTGTTGATTTTTGTATCCTGGTACTTTACTGAATTCATTTATTAGTTCTAACCATTTTTTTGTTGGAGTCTCTTAGGTTTTCTTAGTATCACATCATCTGCAGATAGAGACAGTTTTGCTACTTCCTTTATCATTGGATTTTTTTTTTTTAATTTTTCTTGCCTAATTATTTTGGTTGGGATGTTCAATACTATGTTGAATAAAAGTGGTAAGTGGCCATTTTTGTCTTATTCCTGATATTAGAGGAAAAACTTTCAGCTACTCACCATTGACTGTGATGTTAGCTGTGGGTTTGTCATATATGGCCTTTATTATGTTGAGATATGTTCCCTCTATGCCCACTTGGTTGAGTTTTTATTAAAAATGGTGTTGGATTGTGTCAAATGCTTTTTCTGTAGCTATTGAGATGATACATTTTGTTAATGCGGTGTGTCGCGTTGATTGATTTGCAGATGTTGAACCATCTTTGTATCCTTGGAATCAGTCACACTTGATCATGGTGTATGGTCCTTTTATTTTATTGTATTCAGTTTGCTAATATTTTTTTTGAAAATTTATACATTAATATTCATCAGTGATATTGACCTACAATTTTCTTTTTTTGTGATGTTCTTCTCTGATTTTGGTATCAGGGTCATGCTAGCCTCATAAAATGACTTTGGAAGTGTTTCCTCCTCTTTAATTTTTTGGAAGAATTTGAGAAGGATAGGTATTAAATCTTGGAATGTTTACTAGAATTCACTTGTGAATCTGTCTGTTCCTGGACTTGTGTTTGTTGGGACATTTTTGATTACTGATTCAATCTCCTTACCAGTAATCAGTGTGTTCAGATTTTCTATTTCTTCATGATTCAGTCTTGGAAGAGTGTATGTTTCTAAGAATTTACCCATTTCTTCCAGATTGTCCACTTTGTTAGCGTATAATTGTTTGTAATAGTTTTTATGGTCCTTTGTATTTCTGTGATGTCAGTTGTAAATTCTGCTCTTTCATTTCTGATTTTATTTATTAGAACCTTCTCTCTTTTTTCTTGGTCTAGTCTAGACTTCTCTAGTCTAGATAAAGGTTTTTGAGTTTCTTTTATCTTTTCAAAGAACCAGCTCTTAGTTTCATTGATCTTTTCTATTAATTTTTAGGTCTCTATTTCATTTCTTTCCACTCTGTATTTATTATTTCCTTCTTTCTACTGAATTTGGACTTTGCTTGTTTTTTTTTTTTCCCCTAGCTCCTGTAGGTGTAAAGTTAGATTGATTATTTGAGATTTTTCATGCTTATGGAGGTAAGTCTGCTATGATTTTCCCTCTTAGATCACTTTTGCTACATCCCACAGATTTTGGTATGTCATAATTCTGTTTTCATTAGTCTCTAGGTTTTTTTTTTTTATTTCTTCATTGACATCTTTGATGACTTGTTGGTTGTTTAAAAGCATGTTGTTTTATCTCCACATTTTTGTGTTTTTTTTCCAGCTTTCTTTTTGTAATTGACTTCTGGTTTCATACCACTGTAGTCAGAAAAGATACTTGATATTTAAAAGTGGTATGTCTTTTTGTTGGATTGACCCTTTTACATTATGTAATGCCCTTCTTTGTCTATTATTACAGTCTTTGTTTTAAAGTCTACTTTGTCTATTATGAATATTCCTACACCAGCTTTCTATTCATTTCCATTTGCATGAAATATCTTTGTTCATCCCTTCAAGTTCAGTCTGTGTGTGTCCTGAAGTGAGTCTCTTGTAGGTAGCATACAGATGGGTCTTATTTTTATGTATCCCTTCAGCCACTCTATGTCTTTTGATTGGAAAGTTTAGTCCATTTACATTTGAAGTAACTATAGGTAAGTAATTATTGCCATTTTGTTGATTGTTTTCTGGCTGTTTTTGTAATTCCTCTCTGTTTCTCTCTTTTTTCTCTCTTACCTTGTGGTTTGATGGCTCTCTTTAGTGTTTTGTTTAGATTCTCTTCTCATTTTCTTGTGTGTGTGTGTGTGTGTGTTTTCAAAGATTTTATTCATTCATTTGAGAGAGAGGGAGACAGAGAGAGCACAAGCAGGGAGAGAGGGAGAGGGAGAAGCAGGCTCCCTGCTGAGCAGGGAGCCCAATATGGGGCTCGATCCCAGGACCCCAGGATCATGACTTGAGCCTAAGGCAGATGCTTAACTAACTGAGCCACCCAGGCACCTCTTTGTGTTTTTATGGTAAGTTTTTGCTTCATGGCTTGCCATAAAGTTCACATGTAAGTTCCTATGTATATAATGGTCTGTTTTGAGTTAATAGCAACATTCCAAAACTTTACATTTCTTCTACCCCTGCCATTTTATGTTTTTGATGTCACATTTTACATCTTTTAATTTTATGCATTCTTTAATTCTTGTAGTTTCAGTTAACTGTATTATGTTTGTCTTTAAACCTTCATAGTTGCTTTATAAGTGATTGATTCACTACTTTTACTATATGTTTACCTTTTCCAGGAGGATTTCATATATATTTCCTTGTTATTAATTAGTGCCATTTCTTTTCAGTTTAGAGAAGTCCCTTTAACATTTATTGTGATGCTGGGTCAGTGGTGATGAGCTCCTTTATAGCTTTTGCTTATCTGGAAAACTCTTAATCTCGCCCTCAATTTTTTTTTTTTTTTTAAGTAGGCTCCACACTGAGTGCAGAGCCCAATGTGGGGCCCGAACCCATGAACCCAAGATCAAGACCTGAGCCTAGATCAAGAGTCGGACACTCAACCAGCTGAACCACCCAGGATCCCTTCTCCCTCAATTTTGAATAATAACTTGCTGAGAATTCTTGGTGAATTTTTTTTCCTTTCAGCACTTTGAATATGTTATGCCACCCTCTTCTGGATTGCAAAATTTCTGTTGAAAAATCTGCTGGCATACTTATGGGGTTTCTCTTGCTGCTTTTAAGATTCTCTCTTTAACTTTTATAATTTTAATTATTATTAAAATTACCATTTTAATTCTAGCGTCTCTTTTTGTGGATCTCTTTGTTTCATTTTGTTCAGGACTTTCTGTGCTTCTTAAACCTGGATTTCTTCCCCAGATTAAAAAAGTTTTCAACTACTATTTCTTCAAATAAGTTTTCTGGCCTTTTTTCTCTATCTTTCCTTTCTGGAATCTTGATAAGGCAAACATTATTCCATTTGATGTCTCAGAGGTCCCTTAAATTATCTTCATTCTCTACAATTCTTTTTTCTTTTTGCTCTTCTGCTCAGGTGACTTCCATTGCTTTCTCTTCTAGCTTGCTGATCAGATTTTTGGCTTCATCCAGTCTGCTCTTGAACCCCTTCAGTATACTTTTCAGTTTAGTTATTGTATTCTTCAGCTCTGTAACTACTCTTTAGAACTTTCTTATATTTACTGTCTCTTTGTTGAGGATTTCCATATTCATCCATTCTTCTGAGTTCACTGAGTATCTTTATGACTATTACTTTAATCCTTATCACATAGGTTGCTTATGTCTGTTTCATTAATATTTTTCTCTGATATTTTATCTTGTTTTTTTGTTTGAAACATAATGTTTTGTTGAAACACTTTGTCTTATTCTCTGTGTTTGTTTGTATGTATTAGTCAAATTCACTACCCCTTCCAATATTGGAAGAATGTCTTTGGGCAGGAGAGGTCATGTGGAACCCAGATATGCAATCCCCTCTGACCACTGGAACTAGGCGCTCAAGGATTTTCCTCAATATGGACTGCACACACCCATCTGCTGTGGCAGGGTTGTATCTGTGGTATGGGGGTGGGTGGGATTGGCCCTTGGTCTGGCTGTGACATGTGGTTTTGCTCTGATGGTGTGTGGGATTCTCACCTGAGCATGCCCACCAGCTCTAATAGGTTAGAGGGATAGTTCCAAAATGGTGCCCACCAGCACCAAACTTAGCAAGGTAGGAAGAGGTCACATATATAGTGGCTGCCATTGTCTCTGTCTCTATATAAGGTCCCAACACTTTCCTGCCTCTCTGGGAAGTGCTTTAAGATTAGTAAGTTGGTTTCCTTCACATACGATCTAGGAACTTTTCAAATTCATGTTTTTGTGCTGGTTCCCAGGGCAAGCAAATCTGTGCATGAGTCCTTAAGAGTGGGTTCTCCATTCCCTTCAGTTTTATAGTTATCCTGGATATAATCCTCATTGGCTTTCAAAGTCTGGTATTTAGGGTGTCTCATATCTCTCATGCAGGGCCTAAGGGTTGGAAGCCTGACATGGAGCACAGACCCCTCACTTCTTAGGAAAAAGTTCTGTACTTTTGAGACCCTTCCTGATTGTGGATCCCAGCACTTATGGTGGAGTCTTTTTTGGCAAGGCAGGGTCTTTGCTTCTCCTATCTCAGTGCTGTCCTTTTTGTCCTTTGTTGTGGAGGCTCTGGTCATCCAATTTGCTGGTCTTTTTCAGAGGAAATTATTATTGTATATTTGTTGGGTCCATGGGAGGGAGTGAGTTCACATCTTACGACACCATCTTGAACCTAACTGCACCCTCTCTTATTTTTATTGCCAGCCATAGCTTGCTTTCTTACAAGCTCAAAAGGCTTAGATATAGTTGCTGTGCAAGGTGCCTGAAAGGGAAAGTGTCTTTGCTGATGGATTATGCCCTGATCATGGCACTCTGGCAGATATTTCTTCCTGGGAATAGAGCAAAGCATTTTCTATTTCATAAATTAAGATAAATCATTCCCTCACCATTTGTCTATAGCTGTATCAGACCGTGCCAAACAGCTTTATTGTTTGAATTGTTAGATTTCCAAGCTTATACAAAATCCAAGTTTTATTAATAGCACATAATTACCACATGCTTCAATTTTCTATAAACACAGAAATTCAGTAATTAGCTTTAGAATTATATTACAATATGAAAGTAGAACCACAATGGCTATAAATGCCATTGTGTGTTACATTTCTAAAAATAAAAAAATAAAATGTTCATTATCTTGTCAATGATTCAACTCCACACAAAGCACTCAGTGGAATTGCCCAGTATTCATTCAACTGCTTTGTGTCAGCTCTAGGGACATTAGTAGCAAAGGACATGAGATCACTATGAAGGCCAATAAACAAGGGCCTCATCTTCCTGCCTCACAGAATGGCATTTTTAGCATCTAGATGAGCCATGGCATGTATTATTATGTTATTATTGCTTCCTTTCCCCAAATGAAATTGAATCACTGTAGAATCACTTCTCAAGAAGGAAACTCCCTCTCTATCAGTGAGCTACTGCTTGTTAAGACAAATGCATTAACTTGCTTTGATCACTAAGGGGCCATCAGCTACATTCTGGGAAAGCAAGAGAAGGGAGATCTATGAAAAGCTGTCAACTGGACAGAATGCTTAGCCTCTGACTGACAGCTCAGCAGGCCATTCCATACACCTGAAATGCAAGAATTTACTGTTGACATCTTTGCATGATTTTGGATTCTTCTCCTTTAAACAAATGGAAATTTTGGTCCCTAGCCCAGTGGGTGAGCTGTGATGGTATATAGATTCAACTTTCTCCTTCCCAAGGAAGCATACTGTTTTCATTTCCATGGAGACACAGTGTGGTAGAGTGGGATAAAAAGAGGCTTGGGAGCCTGTGACTACTGGAAATTCTGCTAACATTCTACTGCAGGATTTAGACTCCTTACCTTCTGTTGCCTCAATTTTCTGAGATTTCTAAAATCTGAATCTGAAAGACAAAAGCTGAATCTGAAAGAGAAAAATCTCAACTTTTATAGCCCTTAAGAGTATTAACTGGAGGAATACTGGAAGTCTATTTAGGGTTACTTCCCACTTACCTTTCAGTGTTCTCAATGTCTGTGGAAACCTGCCAGGAATGTTGCTGAATATCTACAGGGGATGATGAGGAGTCCTCTAGAGCAGGTGTTTCAGTACTCTCCTCAATTTTGCAATCCAAACTCTTGGTTCCCCCACCAGGCTCCTTTCCTAAGTTGGGGGTGGTGGTGGGGGTGTTGGTAAAGAGAAAAAGACAAGAAATCATAAATTCAAGTTCTTTAGCCAAGGTATCATTGCAAGGATTGTCTGTGCTTTGAGTCAGAGGCTCCATTAACCCCAGTTACTTTCTGAATACTAAATACAATACTAATTCAGTTGTTTCTGAATAACATGAATATAGATATCTCTATCTCTAGCTATATAAATATATGTACTTGTGTGTTTAGCATGTTTCACAAGATAGTTTGTAGATCCCAGTTTGTAGATACCCAAGATCAAGGTAAAAGTCAGTCTTTGATGGAGTATGGGGACTCTATAATCCATTCTTAGTGAGGTAGATCAGGTCAGCTTGAGAGGGGAGTTTCAGCCTATGAAATCAAGCTGCTTTTTTGTTCTTTGATTCAAGGGCAACTAAGATGTCCAGGAGCAGGTGACACCCAGCAGGAAGAATGGGAGCTCCTGCCCTTCTCTCTGACTCTGACACTGTCTTGGATTCATATCCCTTAAACAAAAAAAGTTTTGGGACCCAGTATGTGGAAAGAAGTATTATCTTAGAATGTAGGAAACAGGAGATTGTGGACTTGCCTTCCATTTCCTTGGCTTTCCAACCTCCTTCCATTTATCCTTCTATGAGGAAATAGTTCAGCCTCAAGATCCAGACTGGCTCTGCTGGGACCATAAAGTGCCATCGACTAAAGTGCCATGTACTTACTGGGTAGCCATCCACAGCAGTGCACTGCCAGTCCAGGACTTGCATTTACCATGTCTCATCTCAAGTGAATAAATCAGTACTTTCCAGAAACAAATCTCCAAATTGGTTCAGTAATAAATTCATATGAAAATAAATGGGAGTTATAATCTATGGCCCAGATATCGTCTGTTAACATCTTTTTTTTTTTTTTTAAGATTTTATTTATTTATTTGTGAGAGAGAGAATGAGAGCACATGAGAGTGGGGAGGGTCAGAGGGAGAAGCAGACTCCCCGCAGAGCAAGGAGCCCGATGCGGGACTCGATCCCGGGACTCCAGGATCATGACCTGAGCCGAAGGCAGTCGCCCAACCAACTGAGCCACCCAGGCGCCCCTGTTAACATCTTTTATTTAGGGGTGCCTGGGTGGCTCAGTCGTTAAGCGTCTGCCTTCGGCTCAGGTCATGGTCCCAAGGTCCTGGGATTGAGCCCCGCATTGGGCTCCCTGCTTGGCGGGAAGCCTGCTTCTCCCTCTCCCACTCCCCCTGCTTGTGTTCTCTCTCTTGCTGTGTCTCTCTCTGTCAAATAAATAAAAAAAAATTAAAAAAAAAAAAACATCTTTTATTTGGCCTTGAACATTGTCATTTGCAAGGGTGTGTCCTGGTATCATAGGAATGGCTTATGAAGCGGGAGATCTGAGTTTTATCAGTTGTTCATTCACTCTTTAATTCATTTATTCACTTACAAACATTTCCCGAGTGTTAGCCAAGTATCAGGTACTGGGCTTGATGCTAGATTGTTTCTTTTACTCTTTTATTCAGTGTTATTTGTAGTATGTAGCTGCAGCTGTAGAGGAGTTGTTAAGAATATGTGATAGCCCATATCATTGAATATTCATGAGATAGCAGCTACACCAGGCTACCTCTTAGCTCAGTTTCCCTAATCCTGATGTGTGTTCTGCATGGTTAAAAAAAAACAATATAGGGGCGCCTGCATGGCTCAGTCGGTCAAGCATCTGCCTTTGGCTCAGGTCATGATCTCAGAGTCCTGGGGTCGAGCCCCGCATTGGGCTCCCTGCTCGGTGGCGAATGGGCTGCTCCCTCTCCCTCTCCCTCTACTCTTCCCAGCCACTCGTGCTCTCTCTCTTCTCTCAAATAAATTAATAAAATCTTAAAAAAAACTCAATATAAACAGAAAAATTAAAGACACTTGTGAACAGGATGGTAAAATCTAATAGGAAGATTTCCCCTTGGATTCCTGACTGAAGGAGACTAGCAAAAATCTCATCCCTGTCATTTCTAACCTATATGGCAGCAACACGAGGAAAAAGAGACAAGCGATTAAGTGGTTATTAACTGTACGCCATTCATCAACCTATAGTAGAAATGGACCTCTGAATTTTCAGCCAAAGCACAAACATAAGTTTACTGATGAGAACTTTTGATCCTTTTGTGTGTACTTTATGCTCATTGCTCCTGAGTGATGGAATTGCTTTTCCAATTTTATGGTATACTGTTGGGGTGAAATTTAATTAAGCACGTAATTTAGCATATTACCATTTCACAGTTGGAGGGCACTGACCTCTTAAAAGCAATTGCATCGTGCTTCCTGGGAGAGTGCAACAAATACAGTCCATCTGCCACCCCCCGCTGGGCAGGGTCCGCCTTAGGAAGCAGTTCCACAGGGGTGGCTAAGATCTGAGAGAGAAGCAAAAGGCGGGGGTGGGGGGGTGGGGGGCTCCTTAAACCCAGTCCTCTGTTGCTCAGGACTCTGAAGGATTGGGCCATCTGAAAGCACACATGGTTCCCGTGGTCCTCCTGTGGAGTAGAAATGCCTTGGGGAACACAGTATGGTTTGGGCAGCAAAAGGGAAAGGAAGAAGATACACTTATGGGCTTATGGGCTTTGCTTGGCTTGGGGCCACCGTAGCCCCTGTCCTGTGGTCAGAGCTTTCATTCGGATGAGGACAGGGGAGGACACACTCTTTCTCAGAGTCCTCTCTCTACCTCCCTCATATATAAAAAATATATATATACACTTTTTACACGAAAAGGCATAAATAAAATCCAATCCACAATCAGTGTGTTTATACTTACTGCCCGTAATACTTCCATAATACTTACATAAGACAAAGATCATTCTGTAACCTTTTCAAAGCAAAATAACTGTTCATATATTCCCAAAACACACCTGTGAGCTTGTAATGCCAAGTCATCTCCTCCTTCTCATTTCTCAGTGACTAGTTCTAACTCTGCTAATATAGATGAACAAAAATAAAAACCTTGGATGCTGGGCTTGCAGTATAGTGCTATCAGCTCACACAATCTCTGCAGAATTTTGATCATATTGTATCTTCTCTGGCTGAAACATCTTAAAAAGACAGAAGGGATCAGTATGAGTTTAAGGGGTTTTCAATTCCAGAGTATTTGTGGGGTCAAGTTCACTCTGCACGTAGATAATAATTGCTTTCATGTACTCAGTGCATCCCTTCCTAGTACAGAGTCTGTTTATTGCCTTCATGGTACTCGTCTCTTAGAAATTATCTTGCTTATGTATTTGTTAACAAATTAAATACATTTTTAATAGTATATAAATTTGAATATGCTTCTTTCTTGTAGCTTTCATATCTCTAATGCTATGTATTCATGGCTCCTGATTTCTTTGTATACCATCTCTTGAGTTCCACATCTTTAGCTTTCTTGGATTCAGTTTTGTTGCAGCATATCCTCGACTAATTATTTCAGAGCATATCTGTGGAATGCAAAATTTTTTACTCTTTAAGTAACCGAAAATACTTTTTTCTTCTCTCTTTCTCTCTCTTTGTGCTCACGCTTAAATTTTAATTGGCTGGATGTAGAAATCTATCTTCAAAGTAAGTTTCTCTCAAACTTGGAAGATACTATGTCCTTATCTTAATGTCCATATCCAGAGTGATTTGTATGTAGCCTGTTTATGGCTCTCTGGAAAATTTTTAGGGTATTATCTTTAAATTTTTAATTATTGAGATGGCTCCCTAAATAGTGTAAGTGTAGCTTCTCTTTATGTTAATCTTTGTTGTCATTTGCAATCTCTCATCTCCCTTTTTTTATTTTGAAAATTTGCAAACCTACTGTAAACTTGCAATAATACAATGGACACCCAGATATTCTTGTTTTACCAACTGTTAACATTTAGTTATATTTTCCTTTATTTCTCCCTCTGTATCTCTCTATATGTATGTATATGTATATAGGTTTCATATATAGAGATTATATGTCTTATATATAATTTATATATATAAAACTATATATTTAAATATAATTTTAATGACCCATTTAAGAGTAAGTTGCAGTCATTAATGGCACTTTATTCTAAATACTCCAGCATATATCTCCTAAAGAACAAGTATGTTTTCCTCCATAAACTCAAAATAATGATCACGCCAAAAAAAATATTTAACTTGGATTAAATATGATTCAATACAGTTTGATACAATACTATTATTTATAGATTATATTCACATTTCCCCAATTGTTTCAATAATGTTTTTTTCTAGCTTTTTTTTAATTGAAGGCTCCGGTTAAGGATTGTGCACTGCATTTGGTTGTCCTTTTTGTTTATTCTCCTTTTATGTAGAACAGCACCCTTGTCTTTTTGTCTTTCACGTCATTAATATTTTTGGCAGGCGAGAATTCTACCACTGAACCACCAATGCATTAATATTTTTGAATGAAGAGTTCAGGCCAGTTGTTTTAGAGAGAGTCTTTCAGTTTGGATTCGTTTTCTTGTTTCTGCATGCGTAGGTTCAGCGTAAACATTTTTCGGCAAGCATATTATAGAAGTGATATTGTATCTTTCTTAGTGCAGTGCATCAGAAAGCTCATAAGTCACTTTGTCCCATTATTGTTAGTTAAGTATTATTGTTTGCTTGGTTTCTGCCAAAAGCTTTCATTCCAATGAGAAAAAGGGATCCACCATTATAGATGTACCCTTTTCCCTTAGTGGTTACTAAGTACTCTATGGAGTGATTCATTGAGATGTTATGGCATTTTCAATTTAAGTATTTCTTTCTTTTAGGTTTGGGAAAAGTTTTTCTATTTTTCTTGGTTATCTACTTCTCTGTTCTCTCCATTCTTTCAGAATTCCTCTTTCTTATTGGAGTCTCTGGAACCATCCTATATGTTTCTTTTCTTTTTTTTTTTTTAAGATTTTATTATTTATTTATTTATTTGCCAGAGAAAGAGAGAGAGAGAGAGCACAAGCAGGGGGAGTGGCAGGCAGAGGGTGATGTAAGCTCCCTGCTGAGCAAGGAGCCCGACACGGGA